GCCGAGTCTTCAACAGGCTAATTCATCCAAACGTGACAATTCTATTAACGCGGTTCGCGCGCGGATCGAACGAAGAGGAGTTGGCAGTTATTCAAACTCGCCTTAACGAAAACAAATAGAAGTATTATGTATGAATATACATATATACATATAAATATACATCTTGCAATTAAGTCTTACTGGTTACTGGGAGCAATCGGAGAGCCCCTCGACAACCATGTCCATATACAATTTACAAGATGAATTTCTGGAGACTTGTAGCGATTAAATTAACATATACGTATCAAAGCAATGGCTAAGTCAGAATATGCCATATAACGTTCCATTAATTTATGCAAATAGATATAAAGGCCGATTTTATGAACAAGATGGTCATCAGTCATGATATTGGTACTTAGCCGGCACGATTAAATTCAATAAAATAGTTTTTGCATATGGTAATTAAATAAAATTAAATAAAGTTCTGAAAGCTCTTAGCTCTTAAAAAAATAATAGTTTTGTGGTATAATTTCGTGAATTATATTAACAGATATTTTGACAGTTGATAAATGATTTAATCAAATATTGAAATTATAATAATAAATTAGCTATTCGTGCAAAATTAACTATTCTGAACAACATAAGCCGCTTATAGTCAATGGAGCACTCGAGTTATATTGAAATAGATTCCACGATGCTAATGGATGTTGTATCAGAATCCATTAAAAAGAAGTTAATATATATCTTCTTTGTTAAAGCTTAAATATGCAATTGACATTATGTGACATAAAATGTAACAGTTTCTATTAATTGTAATTTGTGTTTAGACTGTTTAGTTGATTTCTTGATGCGCGCATAAAGGCTCTTGAAACTCGCGTGTCTCTTTTTTAAGTTCTGCTTCGTCGGTAAATTTAGGAAAAATTTTTCCTCGATAAATATTAACTATTATAGTTATTGTAGTAGAACATTTTATGCTGCAACTTTTCAAACTTTAAGTTTTAACTTTTAAATTTAATCAAGTCTCAAATGAAGTTCTTTTAGATAGAGTTTCTTTCTAAATGAATAAATTCAGCGAAATCGTTTTAACTATCAATATCAACAGCTTTATTAATAATATTCATACTCAAGAGACCGTATAAAATTTCTGGGTCATGTTCAGAGTACGCGAAGGATATCTCTCGGCGCTTGGCTCATAAATTGACATTAATAGTTATTAACGTTGCGTAAGTCAATTAATACTTTACAATTTGTATTGCCAGTTCATCGTGTCGTTTAGTCGTCCGTTACAATTTAATTACGTTATACACTTGACGTTTACGACGGTATCCGATAAAAGTTTTTAATTAGCGTACCTCCCGCGTGCTTCCATCCGAATCAAGATTATCAATTATCCGTCGTCATGGTTTTATTACGACCTGACGGAAAGTTTTCCCGCGAGTATGGCCGATAACCAGCCACGTATAAAAAGAACAATCAAATAAATCAATAAACGAAGATTCAGCGTCATCGTTATATTATTCTGTTACCGATGTACGCAAGTTAGTTGCTTTGATAGTTATGCAATCAGAGTTCTGCTACGTATCGACGTAGACAATATTGCGTAGATGTATCGTGAATTCCATCCGATTGGTATGCGTGCGCGTTGCGCTCCGTTCGAGAATCAAACTGCGACGGAATCGTACCTTATTTGAGATATAGATTATTTTGTACATCGACGTTATACTGCAGAAATAGATAAAGCGTTTATTAATATTCAAGATTTCTAGAATAAGTCCTCTAAGAATAAATAAAAAAAAAAAAATAAGCAAAGAAAAACAACAGAAAGAAAAAGAGAGAAAGCAGTTTTCATAGAAATTTAGAAGTACAAAAAAATCTATATTAATATTAATAAAATAATTAATAATAATCTTTCTCTAATTCAAAGTGTGTGTCATGCAGATTTCATAATCAAATAAATTCCGTGCAAATTGAATAATTCCGAATAATTTTGACCATCCAGAATTTCCATCGAAAAATTTTGTACAGAATATTTTTAAGTAATATAATGTTTCAATAGAATAATATATTTTTAAATGTAAAATACTTTTTATTTCCTTAAATATATATGCATTAATCTTGCACAAAATCAATGATCAAAGTTAAAGCATGTCGATAATCATTTTTGTAGAAAAAAGATTCCGGAAATACGATATACCCCTTCCTCTCTCTCTCGGAGACGATACCACCGCGGAGTTCATTTTCGCACGGCGTTCTCGCGCGCAATTGTGGAATATTCAGCCGCGCTCGAGTATCGGGGCCTCTCACGCGAACGGGATGCAAATCGTAAAACCGCTTATGAGACCGAGGCGAGGGTGTGATGCCGCGAAAGAGAAGAAAACGAGGTGCGACGGAGAAAGCAGGGGAAACGCGGGATCGCGCGGGGAGGCCGACGCGATGCATTAAACCTTGACAAGCGCGCGCGCGAGAATCGTGAAAGCGCGATTTACGCTTCTCCGATCCACCGCCGATCTCGACCGCCCGCACCTGGGCACCTGAGAGCGATGAATCGAATACGATTATCGATGCATCGCGAATACACCCGTCGCCGTCATCGCGCGCGGTGTCGCCCGTGATAATAAATTCTCGACCCTTCCCGGATTAGGAGCAGCGAGAAGGAGACGAGATTCTCCTTGCCCGGCGATGCTTATAAACGGTTTCTCCGGCGGAGAGGAACTCGCTGCAGAGCGAAGCTCTTTTCGCTCGAGGACGTATACACGAGCCGGCACTTCGTAAGGTTTGCATTAAACTCGAGGAGCGAATTCTTTGATGAAGTCGGTCGACGGATTTTCCTCGCTGAATATTTGATCGTGCCTTTTCGCGCGATTCCTGCGTTTTCGACATTAAATATATAGCGTCTTTATATTCTTTCATTATCGAACTTCTTTCCTGTAGAATACGCGCACCCTGCTATAGTACTAAAGAAAATTAATTTGCTCATTATTAAATATCTTATATGTCTAATTAAAAGCCAAAAGAATAAAACTTACAGAGATTTTTGGGAGAATAAATAGTAGATAATAAGATTTTCTTTTTAATATTAGAGGGGTTCAGTTCACGGAAAAGCTCATTTCCAATCACTTGTAACTATATAGAAAGTTATCAGCCTGCCGATATTTGATTTGAAATGAAGTCGAGATCCCTCAAGGAAAACTCGTATATCTGTATACCTACTATATATAGCGACGTTCTTTTGTAAAAACGAGATGCTATTAGATGAAGGGTCTCCACGTTTCCCAATAATACTGGGGAATGCAACTTCCATGAGATAGTTATATTACGTGCTTTATCAAACACAAAAATCGACACATGCGCGACACAAAGTTGAATCCCCCCCCCCCCCCCCCCCCCACGGATTAAATGAACGTCCCGGAAATGGGAGCTATTTCCGATATCGAAAAAGACGTGAGTTCGAGATTTCGGTGGCATTAGACGCGACATGAGCGTTGATTGGCTGGGAACGTATCTGAGGATCGCCTTTACTACAAGGCAGCTCGTTTCCGAACGTCTTTTCTCGGTGCTCGCCAATAAACGGTCCGGTTGCTTCCTCCAGGGCGCAAAGTCGTTCCGACAAATGGAACCTCTCATAGAAAAAATTGCAATGGCAATCATAAAGCAATACAAGAGAAAAATTGAGCCTCGTAACGCTCTGTCGTCACTGCGCCTCTCTTGTAAAACTCTTGTTAAGGCCAAATACACCGTCTCACGGTCATCATATACCTATGTTCGGCCATGCCATAGCGATATCAAAGCCAAGAGAGAGAAGAAAGAAGAGAGAAGAAAGCATATCTTCCATTTATAAAATTTAATTATAAAAATTTAAAGCTATTTGTGAGAGAGAATTGCAAGATATATATAGTAACAAATAATATTTTTCAAGTTTTATATATTTAGTACAATGACACAGAAAAATCAGTCTAATCTTTTTTTATTTATTATAATTAAAAGATCAATATTTTAAACAGGTGACAAATTTATATAATCGTTTAATATTTTCTTTTACATTTTTTACAGATGTAAGCAAATTACTTGAGCTTTCCTTACGAGCTTTCCTTACGAGCAAATGTTCATTAAAAGATAAAAGAATTCTCGTTTAAGTTTCTTTTGTGTTGCACAAGGGTAAATTCTCTAAAGTAACTTTCGATAGCATTTAATATTACACGGACTTATTATCTGTCTCTCTCGATCTATCATAATATTGCGGCGCAGCAGAGGGGGTGGGGGCAAGGGATATAAATCAAAGTTTTCGCATTCGCTCGCCGCTACAAGGAAACTTTAAGTTTTCGCGCTTAATTTAAGTTTGCATATTAAGCCCAGCAACAAAATATCAATTAATTCTTGCGAAACTCGTAGCCCGTCCGCAAACATCATCTCTCTTATCTGTCCATCGAGATGTATCATAAATCACGAATTTCGTATCTACGCGCATCTAGCTTCTGTGTGTACCTGATATATTAAAAATAAATTCCCTCTCCCTCTCTCTTACTCTCTCTGACAATTACTCGCTACCCGTCTACCCTACGAAAAATCACGTAGCAAAGTTCCTCGTGTATACCAATTAATCTTCGCTCGACGATCAACAATTTCTCTTTGCTCTAAAATTGTTGCATAAACACGCAACAATTTTAACGCTTCATCGATAACCGCCGTTTCTTTTCATTTTAGTAATTCTGAGATCGTTAATCATGCAGTTTTTTTTTAAATTTAGTAATTCTAAAATCCGTGCATAATTATGCACATTATTTTGCAATTTACGGAGTTTCGCTTCTCCGCGCGTTCGAGCTCGAGCGAAAAAATGATCTCTCGCGCGTTAAAAATTCCGAGTGCCGCCCCTTGAAGTAGCTTTTCGATCTGTATACAGCTGGGTTCAGGGGCCAATCCCGGATTTATTTCCGCAAAAAGCAAAAGATTGGTATTCATATCAGAGAATACACTTCGAAGGTAAGCGGCTTTCTGTGTAAGTAAGAATGGAGTAAGGTACTCACGTTAGCGGTGTCGTCGAGTTTCCGCTTCCACGCATCGCTACGTTCGATTAAAGCGTTCCACTGCTCGGAAAGTTTATTCACTTCGCGGCGAATGCTCCGCGTCAATTCGCGCGCCTGCTCCTCGGCGCTTCGATATCCCCTGGAATCACCGTCCAATTCTCTGCCTGCTATAGAAAAGACAAATAGAAAATAAACCGTTAAACGTTTTTCCCCAGAACAAACCTGCAAAGCTCTAGTTTTTATTCCGCTTCCAGACTTTCGTTATTTTACAAGTGTATTGTTTCAAATGGATGAAATATCAAATTTCTGAGTTTCAAAATATTGAAAAAATATGATCGCGCGTACATTCCTATGCGGCAAAATTTCTCTTTGTGGCCACGTCCCTAACATAATATTACTCTGCATCAAAGTCGTTAAGTAACAAATAGACCAAAGATCACATTTTTCCGACTTGACTTTACGGTCTGTTAAAATACGAGCGTGTTATATTCGTCGAAGAAACGAAGAGATCGAGTCGAGCGAATTGATCAAAAATAACACGCGCCTCTTTCCTGATTTCTCAACACTGTCGATCGATAAATTCATGCGGCGCGATGATTAAATGCTGATGCGCAGAATGAATCGCGGCGAAGACCAGCTGGGGAATATCGCGAACATAAATCAACATAACACACGGTAGATAGGGAGCCAGCGAGAGGGCATATATAGGTACGGCGTCACCGTTATCAATGCTAAACATGCATATAAAAACTGTCCACCGCATGATACGATGCGTGATTCATAGGACAATTAATTCCCGGGATAGGCTTGGGATAACTCGAGCTCGCGCCGTTTCTGCTTTTCGTTACGCGTGAAGTTCCGGATGGCGTAGAAAAAAAACACATAAAAGGGTTCCTTGTGAATCTCGTTGGATGCCAGTAATCCACGCGCTACCTCGACATTTTTACGGGTTTCCAGCGAGATACGCGCAGTAAATCACGCGATAAAGGCGCGTCGATGATATTAAAAGATGGGTAAAACGATTTGGTCAGAACGGGACACGTCGTCAGGCGCGGCCGTGATTATCTTTCGCGTCACGATGGCATTTGATCGGTCAATCTAGGAAACGGTTTAATGGATGACAAGCCGCGGAAAAGCGCGGTGCATGTCTGCCGCGCGTGCGGAAAATGAGAGCAGTTTGTTGCGATAACTATACGCGCATATGTCGCATTACGCTTACGCAGACACGCACGTGTCATTTCTGCGCGCACGACACATTTGTAATAATTGATAGTTATGTTATTTCGATGACACAAATAAAAATTGCAGGTAAAAAGTTGCTTCACAATCCTCTTACAAACTTTTTTTTGTCGCGAATATTCCATCTGTCAAAAGGAACGTTAAAAACTAAATTAATTCGTTTGGCAACTTTATCGTTTTTCGTATCATCGATATATATTTCAAAATAGATTTCAATTCAAGAAAAATCAACCACTAACCACGGTCGAGAAATTTACGTTGCCTTTTAAGTCTTTCAATTTTTTTATAAATGCGATTTTCAGAGTTTTAGATGATAAAATTTATCGGGGACGCCCATGACCGTTTTTCCTGGTAGATAACTCGGTGCTCGCTATCGAGCCGTCATCCAAAAGGCGGCAAAACTCGGCGCGGTACTAAAGAAATCGGAGGGATAGAGAAGCTTTTTATTTCGTATCTCCGAACGATTTGAGCTACTCCCGATAAGAGAAATGCGCGCGATCTACGCGTTTTCTTTCTACGCCATCGGATCCACCGATCTCCCCCGCCGAGATCGACATGTCAAATGAAACCGTCACGTCGGATTGGTGATGCAGCTTCTCTCCGATGCAAGAAGGATGGCGGTGTCGAAAAGCTGGAACGATCGCGGTAGACAACAAAACGAACCGAACGAAAAAGAACGTCTCCGAAAGTAGTCTGTTGAACGAATTGAATTAGGCGACCGTGCTCTTCGTCTCTCTCAAGCCATCTATTCAACAGTTGACGCTCTACTTTCCGGGCACGTACGCCACTAGTTTATCTAACTCTCACTCCCTGACTTCCCGCTCTCGTCTCCATCCACATCCCCGGAATGTCTCGCTAATTCTTTCCTCCATCACCGCGGCGTTTAGATTTTTCAAGAAGTGAGAAATGGATGACTACGAAAGTAACGGCAAGATTCTCCAGAGGAGCGGAGCGTAAATTGCTTCTATCGAGCCATATATGAATAAAAATATATAAAAACGATCTGTACGAAATGCAAAACTTTCATTCTATTTCGCGTATTAGCAAACTGTATTGTAATACGTAGTAACAGTAACGGTCGAAAGTTTTCGGCTCAAGGATATAAAAATGAGTTGAAAAAATAAATCAACCATTTTTATTTTTTAATATAGTCACTTTTTATTTCAATACTTTTTATTTTTTTATATCCTTGGGCTGGAAACTTTCGGCCCTACGTAGCTCACAATATCAATTGACTCATTTTATGATTTATCCATATCATTATTTAAATATCACTGAATAGTGAGTATAATATAATACAAATAATAATGTTCATTTATTTAGTTTTAAAAATTATTTTCTGACAGTTTAATATCTTCATGAATAAAATATATACGTTATTCAAAACAGTTACGAGATTATTTTTCTTTAAAAGTCTATAATGATATATAATAAAGATATTTGATGTCTTGAAAATTCCTTTTAACGTCCAAGTTTTATTTTTAGCACACAGAAGCTTTCTCAATCATCATAATTCGATCTACAGAATTATTCAAAGCAGTGATTTTCTGAGCAATATAATTAAAAAATTATATTCTATTTAACAAAACCTGATAATATTAGAGAATTATACATGTTCCTATAGCTATGACAGTCAACATTAAAAAAAGACAAAACGGTTCTTGGTCAACTATTTCTATCTGACCAATCAATCAGAAAGAAATTATTGACGCGCGCGTTCTAGTAAGACGGAGACGTATAATTAAATCGTTTTCAATTCGTAGACGTAACTACAGAGATGTATGTAAAGTGTAAAAATAAACAATCCGCGGAAAAGAGGATCTGTCAAAAATCTAATTTTTCAGACAAAAAGGATTTAATCTATCTTGACAGAAGAAACACATCGGAAAGATTTTTCATCAAACCTTCATTTATTTATAAATTATTATAACGACCCAAATATTTTATTTTATTGTGAGATGTTTCGAGATATAATAAAATAGTAAATTCGACCTCCGAAGCTAACGGGAATAAAAGACAGTTGGTCGATGAGCTTCGCGCGAGGGTCCGAAATTCCGGCTATGCTCCGATCGGGGGTCGCGAACCCTCGTTCGCGGATAATCTATCTCGACGAGTTCAACGTTCAACGTCGATATTGTATAATCCGGCCTTACGGCGTGCGCGATGTTATTCTGCCAGAAATTTATCGACGTCGGCCGGCCTGGTTACACTCGATGCCGCGCACGTTTCGCGAAACGTGACTACCTACGGAATGAGTGAAATCGCGCGCGGCCGTCGTCGGAGTTGCCCGCTCGCAGGAGCCGTTCCACGTTATTGGGATCGAATCCGTTCTACGCAGAGCGAAGCTATCGTTATGGTTATTCCGGATATCTTACGTCGGATATTACACGCGGCACGGTGAATGACAATGACTGCAGCCGAAAGCCGCGGTACTATATATATATACCTTATACACGAATGAATAATGTTGGTGTATCGCTTCATACATATAAAATTCGTTCTGAATGTTTTACATTAATATTTTCAAATTTGTATCTAGCCTACTTTTTATATACTTCAACAAAATCGTTCTCTGAATATGTGAAGCGATACACCAACTCGTTCGCAATTTATAGACGAAGAAGTGATTGTCTTGTTATGTTAATAGGTACCTATAATCATAGATATAGGTACCTATAATATGAATTTACGATATTGAAAACAATATAATAAAATGTGTGATAAATAGTATAATTTTTATAAAACACGCTGACACGCGATATATTTTATGATCGTGGACGTTTGAATAAAGTACGAAATGTACCTATTGCAGATATGATTGAATATACCTATTTGTTAATAAATTTAGAAAATATTGCTGTAGAAATTTATATACATTTTCTGTCTGATATTTAATCTTATTTAATTCATTCAATTCTTCCTAAAATATTCTGGAAATTAGATAATTTATATACACATTTAAGAATATTGTATGATTGTAAATAATATGATTGTAAATATAGATTATTGATTCTGATAGTATATTAATCTCACAATATTGATATAACATCACATTGAATACAGACTGTTATAAACACGATGATAGCATTGACAAACGAATTTGCGCGAATACGGTTCGAGTAATTAGATCACGTTTTGACGGAGACTAATGAACTTACCGTCAAAACTTGCTTAAATTATCACCAGTTGTTACTGTTTGTTTGGTTTGGCTATTTCGATATTTTGCGTCAATCGCGCGTTATTCCGATAAACGATAATAACTATCGTTCATTGACGTAGATGTATGTTCATTCAAAATGTATCGAATAATATTCTAATGAAGATTAACGAACGATTCGCATATCATTAATTGCATACGCAAATACCAATAATCTCTCCTCGTTATTTCTCGTTATCGAAAAATACACAGGACTGCAATAGAAACATCGTACGAATGTTTTCACTGATTCCATAAACATTCGGTTATTAGTAATCGATTGAAACATAAAAGAAATTGGAAACTTTACTCTTATTTGAAAGTCGAGTTTGTTAGTAGCAACCGCGTTCAAAATGTGCTATTGCGCAATAAATATTTCTTATTGGCTATTGGATTTATAAAGCAAGAGAGAGAAACGATGACATAAGATCAGGTCGTGCTTTCCTCCGGGATTTCAGTAAATTTCACCTACAAGTTTCCGGTTTCCCCTCAGGGACATCGTTCCTAAAGCTCCCTATCCATCGGTACCGATGTACTGCGATACTTCTAATTCAATTGAAAACCCCACGTGACTCACGACGGAGTTACGTTTATCTAGCTGAAGTAAACTTTTTTCTAGCCGATAGAGCACAAATAATCGCGCAGTCAGAAAAAAATTAAATAAACGCATTGTAAATATATTTATTAATACAATTTAGGATTTTTAAATAATAAATAAAACAGATCTTATATATAATTCTCAATTAAGTAGACACAATTCATGTCATTTTCGGTCGAGCTGGATCTTGATAACCTAATAATAATAATACTTTTATAAAAATTCTGCATATCTTTTCCAACTCAGCAAATTGTGCATCGATTATTTGTCTGTCTTGAAACGCAGTTCTCCGTTAGAACAGTGAATCCACATACTTTAAACCGATTAATGAATTTAACTTTTGACGCTAATAAGTATCCTTTTTAAATTATTGTAAAGAATTTATTGCGAAAACTGTCACTCCAGCCAGGGTTCGCACCTGGGCCTTCCTTCCAACCGTGACGGGCATCTTTACCAATTTGATCACTGAACCATGTAGTGATACTTATCGCAATAACTGATAAATATTCAGGGAAACACTTTTTGTTTCAAAAGACGTAAATAAACAATAATAATTGATTTTTCAACCGATGAAAAGGACAGAAACAGGCAAGAAAACCAAGATTATTTTTCATCAAATCTATATTACTGCATGTAATGTAGATTACACGTGTAAGATTTAATTCGCGATATCCGAAAACGTATATAAAATTATTGGAAATGAAATCTCCGCGCATTAAATTGAGAATAAATCAAAGAAATCAAATTCACCTCGATGTATTATTTAGTATTTCCCTTCACCCTTTCTGTTCTTCCTCAATCAGAGACGATGTAATATGAATAAAACATCTCGTCTAAATTTTACAACTTTTGGAGTTGCTGATACAGAACGAAAACTGGAAAGTGTACACTTGTGACTAATTTCGAAACCCTTCATATCGATTCTCGATAGAGTTGCATCAGTTGCATTAACACCAGAAGTTTTATTTCAGAATCGAATATTTGAAATTATATTACGATAAAATATGATATCACATAAAGAGAGAATTGTTTGCAATAGTTACATAAAAAACACCTGTATAACGTACATTGTACGTACATTGTATACATTGTATTAAGGATTATCTCTCGATATAAATAACAAAAAGAAAATTGTAAATGGAAAATTAAAGCTAACATTTTTAATACATGTACATTTTCAATGAAATATAGGATTTTTCTCACGTAACTTATTAAAACGTATCTTTATATATAGTTGAAAATAATTAATGATCATAACATTAAATCTTCAGATCTCAGTGATCTCACACATTGAAGTTTATTAATTTTTTAATTACGTTTCAATACTAAAATATAAATTTTAATTGATGGGAATTTTTGGGTTTCGCGTAGTGATGGGATTAAGTATCTTACAAGCAGATTCGAATTTGTTAGCGTAGTTTCGAACTCTGATTATTTCGAAAAATAAAAGCAATATTTCAAGTATACTCGAACCTGGACGAAATAAGTTCGACCCCTCTATGAGTATCTCGAAAACTAAGAATGTTATTTCCAAGTAGACATACACACAAATATCTTTTCATTAAGTAGTAAAGATTCGATTCGTTACGACAAACTACTTATAAGTTATACATTTCAAATCCTGCAGGCCGCTCATTCTAAAAATTTGAAACTAACTAATCAGAAGTTTGATTATTTCGCAAGTATAATGTATGAAACATTATTTCTTATAAATATTCGAATCTAAGAAAATAAAACTTGATTATTAGATAATTTAATTCGGATTTTTAAGTACGTATTGAACTCGATCTCATCTCTAGTTCCGCACTTAGTTCCTGTATGATGTATTTTTGTATTTTCATCCATTTCTCTACGCTCATATATTTTCATACAGTAGATCAAAAAAGTATTTGCACACCTAGTTTTCTTACAATAATTTTATTACAAAATACTTTTTTTGATCCATTGTACATTCTGCATTCTGTATATTCGTTCACTACGTGAACGTGTCTTTGTTATTTCGTCAGTCGCTTACCAGAGCTGCAAATGGGCAAAGAAAGCTTGAAAGCCTAAGAAGAAAAGAAAGTTGAGACAAATATATGAGGACGGAGAGTTAAGTTTGAGTTGCTCGACGTGCGATAGAATAGTTCCACTTTCTTTCTTCTTTTTTCTTTTTAGATTTTATTTATCGGCCTATCGCGATTTTCCCCACGCTACCCTCATTATTGTTTTTTCTTTGAAAGCTTATGATTGATACGCGGAGAATTATTTCTCACTGTGCAAATTCACAAATAAACATAATTCTCGTATCTCGCATCAGATATCTATCCGAGTTTTCTTAATATCTGCGCTTTCGGCGAGGTGGGATTATGTAAATGAAATATTCAGAGCGTCGCAGTTATACGCGTTCCTTGCCCTTGCCGCGCTTGAAAAGGGAGCGACAGTAAAGAATGAAGCTCGTTTCTGGTCTCGCGGGTTAGGTTGCAGAACCGGGAGAAGAAAAAGAAAGAAAAACGCAAAATATTTCTCAGTGGCCTTTCAGTCTGGAAATCCCAGTGCAAGCACAATCGGCAGTTGTTCTTAGATTCTTGCCGCGCGGCATGAAATTCTCAGCTGGCGCGGAAATTCACGGAAGGTAAAATGTGTGAATTATTAAAACGCAATTCGCAAGTTTATACGCCGGGAAAGAGAAAGGTTAAATGAAATTTTTCTTATATTCGCGACAAGATCAACTGATCATCCGTGTTCGCTGCAATACACGTAAGATTTTATTAATCTCGGCAAAATATCGATAGTTCAGAGAGAGGGAAATGTGAATTTTCTTCCAATCGCTTCAGTAGTCGATTCCTTCATATCGTTCACATGAAATATTTTCTAATATTATATATATATTACATGTTATATTAAAAACCGAGAGAATTAATTTTGAACATTAGTAAGTATCTTCTTGCAGACTCGAAGTAACGTTACCGAGAATAATCATTGATAGCAAGACAATGGTAGTAATATCAATTCGTTAATTATCAAACGGGAGGTATAAACAAAGAAAAGGAGAATTCTGTGCTCTCTTCCAAACCGATAAATCGGCGAGATAGGCCGAGATAGACTCGAGATTATTGCCTCTCTTCCCGGAAATTGATATGAATAATAAGAATAAAAATCGCGAATTGTTGAGATATTGAAAGGTACACCACCGTTCTTAATTACCGGGACCGCACTATCGACGAACTCAGTCTTGCGTTATAAAGTGGTTTCACTAATGATGAACGTACTTGGCCGACTTCCTTTGTTTCTTCGCGAGATGTTCATTCGTATGAACGAAGTGGACGATATTGGAATTCCGAGCTATTTGATTGTCTCATATAAAAGTAATATTTTAAAAATACCACGAAAGAACGCCACGAGAAAATCAATCATAGTAAAAAGTAAAAATAATCAACATCAATACAATTCCACTTTCATGAAACATGTTTCTGTTCTTTTAAGTACTTTTATCACTTTTGAAAACGCTTGAAGTACTTACCTAATATATTACGTATTATAAATTTTTTTTTGCTTTTCCGTGAAATAGATTAAAGAACAAAAGAATACAATTTGTGTGTAATTCAACTAATTCATAACGTACCTTCGGAGTCCGATGTGTCCGACAGCGGAGGCTCATTGGCGATGTACTGGCGGCCGCTCAGCAAATTGTTCTCCACGACCGGCCGTTTGTCCTCCAGCTGCCTCCTGAAGCCACGATGGTCGTCCTGTGAAGGAGACGCGTAAATCGTGAAACAAAAATAACGAGACAAGGAGCATCGGTGTCTGGTGCAGTGCCAAGTTTTCTCTTGGCGTTCAACTCTTCGCCGAGGAAAGAGGCCTCAAGAAATTAGCCCTTTCGACTAAATTCATCTGTCTGCAGTGACAGGTAGAGTAGAATAATGCCAATATTGATGGATATATAATAGTGATGATATCGTCATCGCTATAATATCATTATTTTCGGCAGTATAATTACTTAAAAGTTCTATTACTATATATCAATTAATTTAATAAATAAAGCAACTAATAAGAAAAGCAGAGACATATGTATGAAAATAAAAGTAAATAGGTATTGCACAAAAGAAAATATAATTATTTAATGCTTGATTTTTAAAGATATTCGTTATACACACAGCACACATATTAATTATAAGTTAATAATGAGATATTATATTATATAATGAAAAAATTTAATTCAAATAATAAAACATTCTTGATGAAGATGCGATACCGTCAAACACTGCTGCATCGTGCAGAGATATTAACATGTACGTTCGTAATTACGTTTGACGAAGATATTATGCAGCGAGGTTGAAAATTAGCCCGCTGCAGTCGGCGAGAAGAACTCGAGTGGGTAAAAAGGCACTCTTACAATATTGCGCGCCCGCTAGTTAACGAGATTATCTCTCGTCGTTCGCGGAGTTTTGGATTTGCTGCTATAGCAAGACGCCACGGATCTTTTCGTCGCGCGTCGAGAGACGCCCAGATGGCATGTTCGCGTCAAGTTTCCTTTTTTATATCGCTATACGAAAAGAAAATTCATCGCAAGAACGAATTCGTGGAGCAAAGAGACCGTCTTTAACTGTCATCTGAGTAAAGGATTTTCTTGTTTTCACGATTGCGTTTGCAAATATGATTGACGGTTCTCGTTAGCTTCATTCGACATTTATATTTCGTAACAAACAATAAATTAAATCAAATAAATAAATAAAGGGCAACGAGCCGTAACAAGATGACAGTGTTAATATATTCAGTGTAATAATACAAAAATAGTTACAAACGTTTCTGTTCTAATATCGAACCACAAATAAATTAAATGGATTCGCGTCTTGTTTTTCAAGTCTCGATATCTTTCGCGTGATTTTTCTTTTTGATTTTTTAACGCGTGCTGCAGTAGGCACTGTGTCACCGCTGACAAAAAACAGTTGTTTTTTGAAGAATAAAATCACATATTTCTTTAGAAGCGTCTGTCTGTGCTTTTACAAACTGATTGGGAAAATAATGACATGATACATAAAACCATCTCAAAATAAAGATGCAGGTTATGTTATTATTTCCGATTAAATAATTGCATTTTTAAAGGTAATATACAAGCTACTTTCTCTCTCTCTTTCATCGTGATTTAAGTCGCTATTTATCACCATATATTTAACATTAATCGAGAATTTGCAAAGACGATCTTGAAGAAGATATAATATGTCAGAAGATAATGCACATTGCGTATTGTTAAATTAGATTGTTAAATAAACTGGTAAAATTGTTCTACAAAATAGATTTCACCATATGCAGGCCATTAATCATTTTTATATTTTTCGTCGTTATTTTCTTTCTTTGCTTCCTATTTCGAAGAATAATGACGCGGCGTGCAGTGAGTGATAGAAATCTCATTGCGGTTATTCTTCATTTTTTTTGCTCTCTCGCAATTGTATAGATTTCTCTTCTAAGGCTTTTATATTACAAATAATACGTTTACGTATGAATCATACTTTTCTTACGAATGTATGATTTAATTGCAAAGTGGAATTAAAAACTTTACGGGATAAACAAATTGCAAACGGATTAATTACGAATAATTTTACTCTCATTGTAAATTGTGCGCACAGAAGCGTACGTGCGTGCTTAGCTAGCTCTACGAGTTAAGATTAATGTTAATTAAGAAATTAGAACAATTTAAAGCTGTCCATCCACTTGGACAGTTAAACGTTTTCTAATTGCTTGCAGCAAGACAATTCCCTTATCAATGTGGTTACCATTACGAGAGGTTAATTACGAGGTATATATACAACGTGAGGCAACAATGCGCTGATGCGTATCGCAGTAATATACGAGCATCTGACACTAAGAATCTTCAGCATTTAACTGCTCCCAACAGTTATTGCGTATCTCACCGAAAAGATAAATTATTTCAGAACAATTTTTTAATATACAATTCTCCACGGAGAAAGAATGTCCTTTGTCTGTTATTTTATACTCAGCGCTAAAAAAAAAACAAGTAAAAAAAGATATTCATACGATAAATGATTTAATTATTTCAGAACAGTTTCATTTCAGAATTCTGTAAAAAAGAGACCTCCTTTTCTCATATTTCATGTAGATATTGCGACAAATGATAAAATTATTTTAAATTTAAATGCGTTACACAATTTTACGGAGAAAGTAATCCTTCCATTTCTCATTCCCGCGCGACGGAACAAAATAAAAAGGAATTTAGACGATAAATAATCATCTGCCTGACTCATTAATCCTAAATAAGTATGAATCATTCAATAAATTTTTTCCCGATGGAAGCAAGCTTTCTTTTATTTATGATCTACCCACGTAGACGAATTTCGAATATCAGTCGATACTGTTATCCGTTAGAGAAACGAACGTTAAATATTTCACGAGCTATCGAACGTCGACGGATCTCTCCGTAAACAATTGAGGTAACGTCGCGACGAGAGGTCCGGGCTCTCCAGCAAGCCGAAAGAAACACATCGGCATAAATTCCGAAGGTTGACACTCGGCCAAAGTGCCCGGCCGAAAAATATAACCACCAAGCGTGATCGTCCTCGCGCGAAAAGCGAAAATTCCGCAAGGCCGAAACGAAAATACCAATCGGTCGCGCCGAGAAAAAGATAGGCGTCGAAAAATGCACGCTCGAAACCGCGGACGTGTTTCGTCGCGAACCAGCAAAATTCATCGAATTCGCGGGCGCGAATCGATGCGCCTCTCGATGTCGGCCTTCCAACGTAACGTCGGCGGTTTTGATTTATCAACCATATTCGCACACGCGCAAACGAACGAATGAACGAACGAACAAACAAACGAAATGGGCCGCGTGCAAAAGGTGCGTGCGTGAAACGTTTCGTCGTCGTCGTGGACGGCTCGTCGCCGGGACGTGTAACGATGCCGTTTACAGGCGCGCGAGAGTTTACGCGACGCGTCCGGGATCGATCCGCGCGCGCGCGCTCGCGAGCGAAATGGAATTTTCAGGACGGTTCTGTGGCGTAAGAGGAATGGCCGTCGCGCTCGTTACACCGTCGTTGTAACAGCGACTAAATCGCGTGCGATCGGCTTTCATTCCGATTGCGTGGGCGCAGTAAACGGTCTTCTAATTACGCGTCTCTCATTTCGACTTCGATACCGAGATGGGCGCCCGGCTGCGACAGTTTCGATTCCGATCGAGCGAATTCATTTTCCCTCCGCTATTTCGTATTGTAAAAATGATTTCTAACTTTTATTTGAAAATATTGAAACAAAATGTTTATTCTATAATTACGAATCGTATCCAGAACTACGTAGAAAATTAAAAATAGAATTTAATTTATATAACGGCGACTTAGAGGCTTATTCTGTAAACGTTAACGATATCGTTACGTACTTTGCGCAGCTTTTCTGTGGTATATTATATCTGCGCAAAGCACGTAATGATGTCGTTAACATTTACAGAATAGATCCCTTTAGTCAACTTTTATGCAAAATGTTGTGTGCGAGGTCGAAAGTATTTTAAGTATTACTTGAGAAAATAGTTTAACGATATTGTTCATGCTAAAATAGTTATCGATAAAAATGATGTAGATAAAATTAAAGTTTAGCATTGCATTATCGTTGTGTCAACGTGGCATTTATCCTTCTTTGATTTATTAATTGCCTAGAAATAATCTTAGAATTCCTTTAAAACAATATAACGTTCTCAACTGATCTCAAATTTCAAAGTAAATTGATCAATATTATTCAATTCATTCCGATTATTAAAACAATTCTTGGAAACAACGTCAGTTGTAAAATTCAAGAGCTTCTTAAACGTTGATCGCGATATAAATTACTTAAAGTAATTACTCTTATTTTATTATTATATCCGATAATATACTTTTCGTTAATAAGGCAACTTGTTTTATAAAAAAAAAAAAAAAAAAAAAAAAATGCATGAATAAAAGCTCAACGTTCGTAGCATCATCATAGTGAATTGAAGTATTCGAGAAAAACGCCATGTTCCCAAACGTCAAGCACTAATTAAATTAACAACGTGTAATTAAAATCGCTCGAGGCGAGCGTCCCAGAGTGTTGCATATGGATCCGTTTAGGATATTCACGGAATTATTTAGAATCTCGCGACGCATATGCATGAGGGCAGGATTTATTAATTACCGGCGAATCGTTTAAATTAAATCCGAGTGTAATCGATTTACATTAACCGTACTTTCCCGATACGTGACAATCGACGCATCAAATTTCAAACCGCGGTGATAATCTCGCATAGGACTTCACTTCAATCGTATATATTATTTTACTAATAAAGTTGAAGAAAGAGATATATAGTTACTGAGAAAAGTAGACGTGCGAAATGCCGACGGGGTAATGGCCTTAACTGGATCTACGTAGAAGTCGGGACAAACAATTACGCTAAGAAAATCGCTCGGAAACGATTGCAGCCCTATGTTGCAGGGTAAGAATTTAAATTCCGTGCCTGATGCGAACTTGCTGGAATACAGGTAACGCATGTAGCGGGGTGCTTCTTTCGCGTCGTGTAGATCCCAAGGAAGTAAAGGCGATTGCAAATCATTATTACGAATCTAAATCGGCCCTTTAAAACACGAGGAATACCTATATTTTATTTCATACAGTATTTAACAAACATAATGTGTATGTCACGCGCGGAGAGATATATTTGTTATTGCACTCTCTGTTAAATACACGCACATACAATCGGCAACTACGTTATTCACCTGTATGTATATATAGTTACGATTTAGAAGATATTAAAAAATAAGTTTTCCTATATTAGAAAATTGTTTTTTTTGTAATATACAAATAAACTCAAGTATTTGTAGAGAAAGATTTTAAAGAGAGAGTATTATATTTTACGATTTATTTTAGCAATTGCAATATATTTCTACAAATTTAATTATAATAGTATTATAAGAGAGAATGACAAAAAATTGCTTTCTCTTCCGTTTTAATCTATAAATGCAAAAATATGCACCGTTAAAATATATTCTCTCATTGATTGATTGTGAATTGAATTAATATAATTTTTGTGCTAAATTTCAATGCGATCATATTTACGAGAGGCGCATCTATACGAAGGCAATCGGATGAGTATATGGTTGAGCACCTTACCCTTCTGCCTGAGTAATTAAGGATAATCGATGGCCATTTCCTGTATTCTCCGGTGTGAGTGACAAATACACACACAGATCTAGCCGCACGATAACATCAATGATCTGGTCGAGGGACATGCGGCTTATCACCTCCGTACACTCGGATACTACCTGTATCAATGGTACAGGCGCTTCTGCATGCCGGCAACATGCGTGCTCTAATCTGGATTAATCCAAACTAGTGCACCTTTATACATTGTGGCGCGAAGGATATTCATGCATATATACAGTGACTCACGAAACTGATCAAATCATACCATTGTTACGAGTTTCCTTCTCAAATTCATGAATAAATCTGTAGTAAGAAAAAAAGAGAAAGCGAGAAAGAGAGAGAAAGAGAAAGAAAAAGAAAGAAGAGAGATTATAATTATTTGTTCATTTATATGTTATATTGATGTTGAAAGATTGTTTTCGTTGATTGCGTTCTTCGAATCAACCCAAACTTCGAATTATCTGCGATAATTATTGTATGGTACATTTAATCGCGCGCGCGCGCGAGCGGTTTCGTGAATCACTGTATACTCAATTCCAGCCGCACGAAGCATATTCAATTTTTAGAAGAATCCATAGTTAACGGCATAGAAGAAAATAACAGATAACTAAAAACAATATATGTCAAAAGAGTGCTTTAAAACGTGACTATTTATAATAATCTTCAAAAAGTTGATCAATTGTTTTAATGTGTCATAAAAAGGCAACATCTTGTTAAAGAACGTTAAAGATCTCTTAAAATAAACGAAATATTTCTGTCTAATGAGATTTAGTGAACCGGAAATTCATTTAATCAGCAGCGAATTTAGTTGAAGCATTTAGCGCACAATTGACGTAAGAGCAGCGAAGTAATTGAGACTCACGTTTCCATGAGGCGGAATACTCAAACGTGATGAGAATACGTAAATATCCGTATTCCGGATGAACTGTCGTGTCTCGCAGAGACAGTTGAACACTCGCCCGATAGCGCATGAGTTTATACGTAATTATATTCTATTCGTCCAATCAGTTTGCGAGGAAACTTACGAGCTTCTCGGAGGACGACTGTATGAAATCGATTTTAGATATATAAGTCCTATCCAAGTAACTTGGCTCGAATCCTGAAGTTTCGAAGGATTGATGCTACTGCCGCGAACCAAAGGATGTTAAATGGAGCATGCCCGTCTCCCGAAGATAACGAATAAAATGCTGACGAAAGTACGTCTACAGATTTTACACGGACTAACTGAGGTTCGACGAAGCGGAAGCCAGTGGTAATCTATGCGCGAAACAGCATTCGCGACGACTTGCCTGTTGTTTTTGTAGAGCAGCCACATCGCCGCAAACGGGTCCCAGACCGGTGAGCTCTGTGTCTTTCCTTATCACCCATTCGATGAGCTCGCGCAACGATAGTAGCAAAGCGTTCCAGTGTTCCGTGTTGCTCTCCAATCGATTTCTGCACAGAAAAAACATGCACGCTTTGTACGCCCAGTATCTAATACATTAGATTCTAAAATACATTAACTGATTGAATACTTCTGAATGTGTTTCTGTTTTTTATTTAATACATATTTATTTTCTCTAGATTACATAATATAAGAAACAGAGAATATATTAATCCATTAGGATCGTATAACGAGTCTGACTCGTGTTATGTATATACTTATGTTGAAATATGAAAACGAGTCGAATTCGTTATGACTTTCTGCGATGCAATGGGTAGTTTTTAAAAATAGTTTGAAAATTGTTATTCATTAAAAATTATATTAAACTGCGACATTTATATTAAAAAAAAAATACTATATCGTATAAAAAACTCTACATATTTTTAGTTTAATACATCAATATCGTATTTATTTCTTGAACGTCAAAGCTAGAGAACAGGATTTATTGATTATGATTATAAATTATAAGCGCATAATTAGATATATTTCTCAAGACATATATATTACGCTTACTGCTAATAAACAACATCCAACTAAATCATAAAGTCTACTCGAAACATAACAAAAAAACTGATACAACATGAAAATGGGAATATTGCCCAGTCCCGGAATGTTTCAAACAATTTCACACTCTTGTCAACTATTAATCTATTAATAAACAACTTATTAACCTTTAAGATGTGTTTGTTTTTAGAGATTTGTATTCTTAATAAATAACTTAGAATTTAAACACGACTCTTTTATTATTTTTCTGTTTTATGAATGACAAAAATATAAATGCTGCTCTCCGGCTTCGCGATGTTGAGGAAAATAAAAATAAACACAGTCTCAATATGAGTTAAAATATATAAGCTCTTCTAGCTGTTAGATAGCAAACGTCAACATACCGAATTTTGAAACTGTTTTCTTGTAAACAAAGTAACAAAAAATTGTATAAACTTGTATCGAGAAGATGAGTACAATTACATGTTAAATTTTGCAATTATCATATAAATAGAAGTAGGGGAACATCACGTCATAATATTGATAAAACGTAGGATGCTTCATTGGCTTTTGCAATGTTATTGATATAAAAATAACAATTATTTATATTCAAAGTTTATGGCATAAGTAATAAATTCAGGGCAAAAATATCGGGATATTTTATACCCAAGTGTCTACACCAAAAAGGTTTGTAAAACATTTTACGCATCCATCCAAGGGATGGATTACATCCTCTCGACGCGCTGGATATTCGCGACAGGCATAACAGCGGCGAGAAAGACGCATAAAACGTTCGACTCGTCGTAAATGCGAGTAAAAGAAAGTACATATTTGTTGACAGACAGTCGTCGGTGGGGGAGAGAATGTGGAAAAAGGATTGGTAAGGTAGAGCGGCGCGCGCGAAGTGGATGAAAGGAGAGTAAATGTAAAGCCTTGATGTTGCCGGCGCCAAGTAAAACATCGGGCGATGAGTGAAAAGAGAGAAAACGGCGACGCAAAGTACTGATAAAAAGAGAGAAATCAGATAGATACTTAAGATAAGTAGATCAAGACTAGACCGGAAAAAATGTGCGAAAAATGACATGTCTCAATGTGACGGAACAAGAGGGAAAAAAATAACAAAAAATTTAAATCGAAAAATATAAAATTGAATTCAGAAAAATGTCAATAGAATAGAAATTTCAAGAAATGTGAGAGCAAAGATGAAGTGCATTTGCGGATAAGATATGATTCGAGGAAAATGGGTGAATATGGAAAGCAAAAGAGCCCCGAGGAAATTAAGGATGTTCTATAGGTACCGTTCCAACCAAAAGTATGCAGGAAATATTAAAAACTTTGATATTAATTCTCCAGAGATCCAAAGACAAAAAATGTATATAAATAGTTACAGAACATCTAATAGAATGTAAAAGACGTAGATTTAGTGTCTGTAAATAACTGTTACTACTATTTTTTTTCAAAAGAAAATTTCAAAAAAAAAATTGTAAATCGTTTCAAATTTTGTTGCTATATTTTTGTTTGTTAATGATCTGCTTGTGTGTAAAATATTATTATATTGGTTACATTTTTTTATGTTTACACTTTTCTCTGTAAAATCCTTTGTGAAACAAATAAGAATTGATAACTTTTTATCTAAATTGTGAATCGATTTGAAATTTAGCCCCGAACTTTGAAAGAGAATACACAATATGATATTAAATTTTCGTCAACTTCGTTACATTTTAACTAACTCTTTAGAACACCCTTAAAGTGGACGGGCATTCCGAGCGACGATGCTACGAGTAAACCGACCACGCGATGAAAAATCGGCTACTGGGGAAAAAAGGGAGGTCAGTGGTAAAGTCCGATCGCGGGCAAGAAAAAAAAACGATCTCAGGCAAATTGTAAAAATACAGGAGAAGTGATGCGAACGGTGACAAAGTATTCGTGTACAACCCGATCTCGAAAGAAGGCGATAATAAAAAGAGACGGTTCGAGTGAGAAAAAACAATGGATTGAAGAACTCGAGACGACAAGATCAAGGGATGCGAATGAATGGAAAGCGAGCCTTGATAAGTGCGACCGAGAATACTTCGTTAGAATAAAGTTAAGTCTTGAAAGAAAGAAGCAACCAGATTGGACGACGGAGTAACTTTCAGACAAAAAAAAACCGCAAGAGCATGAAAGAAAGTCAGATCACAAGATATCTTAACGAAGAAGAGAAGGAAGGTGTACAAATGGCGATATATTTGCGGTAGACAAAATTACCCAGGTACACGTGGAGTCCAACGGGTAGGTTAAATCGACAAAAATAAATGCAGAATAAATATTGAAGAACGCGTATAACACCCGCGTGTTTTGTTAATAATAAGTAAATACTACTGGACAGAAGTGCCGGAAACGTGAAATAAAATGAAAGACCGCTGGGAAATCACTAGAAGACGCAAGAGCGCGAGAGACCGGAGAAGAGACACGAGACCTCAAGAAGAATGAGGACTCGTGACATGCACCGTTGGGAAAAAGAACGGAAGCAAAAGATGTTAGAGCGATGCAAGGACAGATATGCGGGATAAGTCGGAAGAAAAGAATTAGTCCGAGATGATCTCGCGTAGGTATCCGAGATAATGGCCTCGCAGGTCCATGGCACGTACGGGTCACATCATACGACATGACATGACGTAACATCTGCAGATCTTGACAAAAAAAATGCAATAGAAGTGCCGACTAATTCTTAACTTATCACAGTTAAAATTTGAGAAATAAGCGGTTTAATAAACCTTGTAACCTTTTTATCATACGATTTATCATGTAAAGTAAATGAGGGTCGGAAAGGAAAAATAGTAAATAATCAATTTTAAAACATCGTGATTCTTCTCTTATTTATAAAGAAAAAGATTATAAAATTACTTAATTCTGCAAAATTTAAATGCTTTGTGAGTGATATTAACAATTCTGTAAAGAAAAATCTTAGATACGAAAGAAATTATGCGTTATATCTTTTAAAATATAATTAAAATACTCATAAAAAACGATCTAATATTATCGGATTAATATGATTAACTTTGATTTATATTTCGTAGGATTCCACGATATTTTTATTTCAAAAGCTTTCAAAACTCTCAATTTATTTTATTTCTTCCACAATTCAGTAGAAGATTGCAGGAATGGAAATATTTATAAAAATCCTAACGCGAATAAAAAAAATTCCTGTAAATTCTAAAATTCTTTCATACAGCAATATGAAGATCAGATGTGAAATGTAAAAATATAAATATATAAAAGAATGAATCTGCAGTAACGTAGAAAACAAAGCTAATAAAAAAAAATAACGCTCGTCGACCTGGATATTTCTTCTTATTTTATTCCTTGTTTAACTTGTCGCCCATTATCTTGTCGGAACGACTCGTACGCGGATAGAATCCAAAGTGGTCTGAGAATAAAGAAGCTCTGCGTAGAGCGAATTAAAGCGGAAGACAGAGGCCCGAAAGACGAGAGCGGCATAAAGAGGTAGGAAGCGCGAAGGAGGCCAGGAACTGAATGCCGCGAGAGAAATTCAGAAATTCTCAGTTTCTCAGATAAAGAGCGGCGGGCGCGCCGGCCACTAGGACAACGGAGCACCGTCGTCGGTTCGCCGCGCCGGAGGTTCGCGGAATAGACGAAAGAGGAAGATAAAGGAGGCTGCGAAAGGAGGGCAGGAAGGATGGCGGTTGGGATTCAGATTTATATTTCGCCATTGTGTTGCACCGCCACCGGTGGCGGCACCCATTGCACTTACTAGGTCACATTCAACAATCCCGTCATCCATTCCCCCACGGCCCCCTTTCCGGAGGTCCCATGTCGTCGTCGTCGTCGTTGTCGTTCTCGTCGTTCTCGTATCGCAAAGAAACAGCCTCGCGTCCGGATATATCGCGGTTATTGTAACGTCGATGCGAGCCGCGCGGAATTTCGCGTACTTTTGTGACTTGAGCGCGTGTACCAGGCGCACGTGCGCGTCTGTACACAAAAGCACATCCACGTCGAGCGATATTGCGCTTCTCCTGCAGGGAGATAAGGGCGCGAGGATATTCCGCGCGATGGATAGCGGTACAGGGTTACCGGAAGAAATCGTCCTCATTGCCCCGACGAATCGTGGGAATAAACTTTTCTCGCTCTACGTGGCCGTTATACGCGGGGATTGATGGTCGCTCGAAAAATTTATTCGACGCCATGAGAGAAAAGAATTGATCTACGAGACAGTTTGTATATGCTTACGTGTTTCTCAAAAAAATTGGATTTTTGTATCCGGACTTACAGCGTAGATAAAACTTGATAAAAAAGTAAGTAGCTTATAACTAATACATTTGCGATATACACTGAAAAAAAATATTTAGATCCAAGAAAATATTTATTTAGATAGTGCCAATGACTTATTTCCTTAATATAATCACATATTTATTTAGATTGAGATATTTTTACTTAATTTAAGTAAAACCCCTTGCACAATAGGCGATAGCGATAGCGATAGCGATAGCGACAAGGTTGCCGACAAAGCTATACCTTTGTCGGCAAC